GCCACACCTGCGGGCCTGCCCTGCGCGCCGGGCCCAGGAGGTCCGAAGCGCGCGGCGAACACCTCGTCGCCCTCATGGCCTATGAGCGAGTCCACGTAGTAGTTGCTGAGGGTGCCACTGGAGGACATTTTGAGGCGCCGTGCGCTCCCACCCAAGGTTACACTGCCCGCCGCGGCGTCGCTCCCGGCCGGCGCCGGAGCCGCCGACTAGTTCGCAGGCTGCAGCCTCCACCATTGGTCGCGCGGCCCACGTGATCATATTTACCAATACCAGGAGTAAATCAGTCCGCTAAACTGGGGGCTGCTGTGATTTAAAAAAAAAAAAAAAATCATCATCAACATAAGCGCCGCAATTAGAGCCCGCGGGCCCTGGCCTTGTGCGCTGGACTTGGCCCGGCCTGGCTTGGCCAGGCCCGCAACTACTTGGGACCACACGCCCGACTGAAGCTGGAGGAGGCGTTGGGACTATTTGTTCACCTCTTTTTTTGCCGCCCTCAGCCTTGCAGTCGGTTCTAGCGCTGCCTCTCCAGCGCCTGGGCTCCCAGCTACCGGCTGAGCGTCCTGGGCTCACCGAGAGCTTGGCCAGAGCCGGGAGCAGCCGGGGTCGCGCACAGCCGGTGCGGCCCCAAGCAGCCGAGCCTTCAGAGTCGGCCCCCTGGCGCCCGAGGGGAGTTCTTCTCCCTGTGCCTCTTCTCGCTATCCAAACCCACCCCCGCCCCTACACAGACCCACACACACGATCTCTCACAGCTTGTCGTGTTGTTTAAAACAGGTGGAAGACCTCTGTAATGATATTATGCCTTTCAATAAAAATTTTATGAGGTGTATTTGATTATAGATTAATGTGTCCCTAATAAAACGGACGGATGGAGCAGCTCGAAGGGCCCCCTCCCCCTACCACACTCACACACGCCCGCGCAGCCACACACACCCCCGACGTGAGGCTAAGCACACGCCACGGCCCGCTGGGTTAGCTGGGGCAGCCTGACCCCGCGGCAGCGGCCACAGCCAGGGTTTCTGTTTGCCCTCAAACTGCCAGCAGGCTGGCGAGTCGGCACCGCGCGGCCACTGGCGGCCAGGGTGCCTTGACTTCGCTAGGGCTGCTGGAAAGGCCCTGGAAGAGAATTCGCCATAGGGCAGAACCCAAATGCTAGCACAGGCCCAATCCCGCCCGCCGCCCCGACCCTGCCTCCAAGAGGCCAGTGCGAACCGCATCTCCCGGGACAGGGCCGCTTTGACTGGTTGCCACTTAGAGGCCTCCAAGTGGATGCCGGAGATATCTTAAAAACGGCCTGGCCCTTGGGCCACTCTCTTCTGAATTCTCCTTTTTTTTTTTTTGCCTTCAGTGGTAAGGCTGGGCAGCCTTGAATCTGAGGGAAATGATGCCCATTGTCACTCCCAAATCCATGGTACAAAGCCTCGAAAGCCCGGCTGGGAGCCGAAACAAAAGCGGCCGGGCGCCGGGCGGCGGCGGATATATTTCTCGCTCTACAAGTTGCTTAGCGCACCCTTGGAGGGCTCCCAGCCCACCTCGAGCCCTAAAGGAAGAGGGAAATGGCTACTTATGGTCTGATTGATTGCCTTTGCCAATGGCTTTCTGATTTTGTTCCAGAGGAGCTGCCTTTGCTTGTAGCGCGGGTTTTTTTTCTCCGAGACCTGGCCCGCTCTCTACAGCTAATGGCGTTCCCCACATTGCGGGGAGTGGGGGAGAGAACGAAGAAGTTAAAATTGCCCACTCTCTCCTGCCCAACCAATGGAGGTCTGGGCAAAAGGATATCAGTGTTCCCAACCTGGCATTCATTTGGAGCCGGCTCTCTCTCACCCCTAGGAAATGGCTCCCCTAAAGGATTCTGTCTCGGAACTGGGGAAGGTTCTTGGTTTTGAAGAGGAAGTTAAAAACTCTGAGTAAATATGGAGTCTACCAAAGGCTCCCTTGATGAGGGCTCTAAGGCTTAGAGCCCCTAAATAGATTGAATTTAGGAAAAAAAATAACAAGAACGTGTTTTGTGATGCTGCTTGAAGCTGTTGGAGACTCCTTAAAACCTGGGATAACGAATTCTCGGTCAGTAATCCTCCCCAAGGCCTCTTCTCCCTTCTACCTGGTAGGACTAGATAAGTCTCGACTCTCTTGGGCTGAGGATCCTGTAGTATATATACTAGTGAAAGCTGGAGTTTTCCGAGCCATGGTGACGGCTGGAACACTGGACTTCATAGAAAGTCATGTTCATTTGCAAATTCTCTTCCAGTCACCCTTTGTACATTTTCTTGCTTCCCAGATACAGTGGCTCTAACCAGCATTTAGTAATTAAACAGAGGGAGGATTGACTGGGGAAAACCTTTCCTTCCTTTAAAAAAAAAAAAAATCATGTGGGCGACAAAAAGGTAATGCTTGAGCATTAAAATCCTTTCACAAGGAAACTAGGGCAAAGTGGGATGGGAAAATTCACCCATCCTCTGCTTTACTGTGGCCTGGCTGTCTTGAGCTTGGGATGAGAGTGAGAATGAGAGAATAAGGGCAGAATTTGGATCTGATGCAATGCTAAGCTGCTGCTTGTCCTTGCTCCTGCAATGGAGGCCCAGCGGCTTCCAGGTGGGCAAGACTGGTTCCAACCCAGCCCTTGAAGATGGCACGCCAGCCAGAAATTGCCAAGACCCCACTGAAAGCATTAAAAAGAACACAACCAAAACCAAAGAGAGAAAGACACACAAGTGTGGAGCTTTGAGGAAAAAAGATCTTGGGCACAGGCTTACTTACTTACCAGGCTCGAGCTAGAAGGAAACTCAAACTACTGAGAATTCAATTCAATCACTGGGGGGTGAGAGAGAGAGGACTCCCCTTCTTTCCAACTATGGAAACAACACACATAGACTAGCTTATCACTCCTCATACCACTGCCAAATTTCAGGACCTTAGGCTTCCTCCAGCTTGTCTCTCCACATCCCTTCCCCTGCTCTCTATTCCTCCCATCAACTGCCCCAAACAAGCAGTTTAACAGGAAGATAATCTCACCAAAGGCTTTCGTTTCCACCATAACATATTTCCATTTCAGAAAGCAGAGGGAGCAGACTCATTTCCAGAATTTATTGCATTATACATGCGACCAGAACATGCACAGAAAGGACAGGTTGCTGTTGTACTCTACCAAACCACAGATGCACCACAAGGGAAAGGCTACAAGGCATAAGTCGTCAATATTCCATCTCACCAAGGACAAATACTAAATTCATTTGTGAAAAGATACATTATAATGTGCATCACTCCTCATACCACTGCCAAATTTCAGGACCTTAGGCTTCCTCCAGCTTGTCTCTCCACATCCCTTCCCCTGCTCTCTATTCCTCCCATCAACTGCCCCAAACAAGCAGTTTAACAGGAAGATAATCTCACCAAAGGCTTTCGTTTCCACCATAACATATTTCCATTTCAGAAAGCAGAGGGAACAGACTCATTTCCAGAATTTATTGCATTATACATGCGACCAGAACATGCACAGAAAGGACAGGTTGCTGTTGTACTCTACCAAACCACAGATGCACCACAAGGGAAAGGCTACAAGGCATAAGTCGTCAATATTCCATCTCACCAAGGACAAATACTAAATTCATTTGTGAAAAGATACATTATAATGTGCTTTTTAGTCCCCCTCCCCCCAAAGTTTGTGAGTTTTCTTAATCTTTTTTAAATATATATGTAATTTCAGAACTTTTAAGTACTGATGTATTCAAAATGCCATGAGCTCATGGACTAACCACACACACAGACCTTTTGTGTCAGGAAAAACATGAAAAAGTCACATTGCTGGATGGATGAATGGATTGATGCTCTACAGTTCCAATAAGTTAAGACCCAAATGAAAATGTGCAGTAATAGTTACCCTGCATTATGATGAAAAAAATAATAAATTACACGTGCTAGTTTTTTAATATATATATGTATATATACTCATAGGGATTACAGATCACTTGCAGCACGAACAGAATGACCCCAAAGTCACATTCTAGCAGAAAAACAAAACAAAAAACAAAGAGCAATAAAGGTTTTGTTTCCGCCTTTCCAGTCCTCCAGTACTGGGCCCTGGAACTCGGTGCCCCCTCTCCAATCCTGGCCTCCCACGGGCCTCGGACCTAAGAAAAGGTGAGGTTGGCGGTCAGTTCTCGGATCCGGTTCTCTCGGCTCATCTTCTTGAGTTTCATTCTGCGGTTTTGAAACCAAATCTTGACCTGCCTGTCGGTGAGGTTAACACTCTTACTGATCTCTAGGCGGCGCTCGCGGGTGAGGTACATATTGAATAAGAACTCTTTTTCTAATTCCAGCGTTTGGTGCTTAGTGTAAGGGCACCTCTTCTTTCTGCCACTCTTTGCAGTGAGCCAATTGCTGGTTGGAGTATCAGACTTGATTTCCTCTAACAAAATTAAAGGGAGAAGAAGAAAAAATATCAAGATTTTTTTTCTCCATCTGTTCAAATGTACCCTTGGCCATGACCCCGCTGGCAGCCAGGCCGCTTTGGGAAATACTGGTATTAAACATTACTTACATGAGGTGGGCCTGGAAGGGATTTGTAATTGTTGCCAGATTAGTTTAAATGCCCCAAATGACACGATGGGCGGGTACTCTCGCCCTCTGTGTCAGGGTTCTCTCTCAACTTTCTGACCTGCACAAAACATTAGTACAACGGTAAACTTCAGGATCTTCCCAGTAATATTCTAAACGGTCAGCTTATCACAAGGCTGGAGTGGAAGAAGTAAGCCATAGCCAGGACAAGCCTACCAACCCCACTGCTCCCTTAGATCCCCAAGTCTGACACTTCTTCCCCACTTCTCCTAGGCAGGTGAGGAGCCCCACAGCCAGGTTGATAGGTGCTCATTCTCTTTCAAAACATAACCAAGGAACTGAATACACCTTCCCAGCCCTCCTTGGCATTGTTGTATTCCCCAGAATTTCCTGAATTTTCATGCCTTCTTGCCCTCACACAAAGGCATTCCCCCAGAAATGCAGCTTCTTAATGTGCCCCACCTCTGGGCACTGGGGGAGAGCACGGGGGCAGGGTTCCTTCTCAAAAAACCAGAGCCCCTGGCTCTTTGCCCTAGCCCAGCCCTAAGGCTGGCTCTGCTGGATGGGCCATGCGAATTCCATTCTCCCCGATTTCGCCTTTGCCCACTTTGCAAATGGATTGCGAAGCTTGTGGCACTTTCCCCAGACAAAGCCAAGGTTACCTAGCCCCGCAGAAGCAGGGAGCCCTGTTCCCCCCACCCAAGCACCAAACAGCCAAGCCATCTCCTTCCTTTTGCCGCCCCCAAGCTCGCAGGATGCGGGGCGCACACACTTGAACACGAACACAGTGCCTTGGACCGCTTTGAAATCATCATTGGGTGAAAGGCAAGGCTGGGACTGCAAACCTGAGCAGGAGAAAGGAGGTTCTGGGGCCGTGTTTACCAGCCGCAGGTCTCATTTGTACTCTTTTGTTGCATTTCAGATCTAGCTCAGGAAAAATAAACCCGGCAAGCCCTTTCTCTGCCACGGCGCCATCAGCGTGGGGCCAGCACCAACCAGGAGGGCCAGGGCAACAGGGAAGAAGCGGGGACCATCTCGGGACTGAGATTGCCCCCTCTAAAAGCTGAGAGGAGCTGCACCAGCCAGTCGGCCCTGCCTGGGCTGCTGGGGCTCGACGCTGGGCACCCAGGTGCTCCCTCTCTGCCGGGCTCCCGGGCTGCGCGCCCCGCAGGGGTAGCAACTCTGTTCATACCGACCTTTGCTTTCCTTCTCCTGTACTTCGGGACTGGACACAGAGACCTCAGCCAGGCAGCTCCTCTCTTCCGGAAGGCCGCCCTTAGCCTCGGGGCTCTCCACCTGGGAGACTTTGGTGGGCTCCTGGATGCTCGCAGGCTCGTTCATCTTCTTTTCCATCTGCAGCTGGGCAGTCGAAAGCTGCGGCTTGGCCGCGCCGCGAGGGTTGAGCTGGAGCATGACTGTGGAGCTGCCTTCGGGGCTGTTATTGTACTCTTGGGTTTTCCCGGTGGCGTAGGTCTGACTCAGTCTAAAATATCCAGGGACAGGAACCTCGGGGTTCTCAACAGGACAGGACTCGGGGACCAGCCTTTGGTACGAAGGGACCTCGGCAGAAATGAGTTTGTTGCGCTTATCAGAATACATGCAGCAATTGGATTCTTCCTTAATGTTGGTGGTGAAGGAGCAAGTGGGGACTTGCTGTGTAACAGGTTGCTCTATTCGACAAGATCTGTTCGGGTCTGTCCAACTGTCTACTTGAGGTATATAAGGATGCACATTCATACCCATATTTTGGTGGTTCACTTCTCTTTTGGCCAGAGACGGGAGCAGTCCACAGGTTTGCATTCCATAGGTCCCCATGTCTGCGCTAGGTGGTGGCATGTACATGCTGGCGCTGCTCGAATAAAAACTGTCACTCCTGCAGGCACTGATCAAGGAATCTACTAAAAAAGTATTAGCAGCAGGAGAGCTGTTGGGAAAGGACATTTTGGGGAGGAATTTGAAGAAGAGAGATTGTGTCCTTTGTAGGCTGACATCTCTAGGAAAACATTCCCCGTGTAATTGTGGATGCCTCTGCCGACCACATGACAACCAAGCCAATGAGATTTGAAAATGGCCTTGAGCCGCAGCCTCCTCGCAGGTCACGTGCTCCAGAGCCCGGCCGGCTAGCCGCGTAAGTACGGACAACAGCGACATCTACTACGCGCCTGAGATAGTGCGCGCTGGAGACAACCCTCCCAGCACTCTCCGCCACCCGCCAGCTTTCCCCGGACTCGCTCGGCCCGCCCGCCCCACTTGCGTCCCCCACTCGGGCTTCTGGGCCCCGCCGGCAAAAGGAAAGTCTAGGCCGGAGGGGTTTCCGGAAGGACACGCGCAGGGAGGGAAGCCGAAGTGCGCTGGCGCCAGCACACAGAAGCATTTCCCCACGCACACACCCAGGTTCTGAGAACGCGCCCGAGAGGACCAGGGCCCGGGCGGGGGTGGGTGCCCAAGCTGGTTAATTTTGTCCTGGGCAGCCTGGGAAGGTGAGTCGGTTCCCCGGGCTCTGAGACGCCCACTCCAGGGGTACCCGGGAAAGATCTCTCGCGCAAAGACGTGGCCAAGGTATCCTTGCGAGCGTAGGCAAGAAGGGCCGCGAGGGCAGGGAGGCCACGTAGCTAGCCAGCCCCGGAGCCCCGAGGACCGACTCGGCCCCGGCGCTGTCCTTCTCTTCGGCCTGCCCGCCCGGGCTCCAGGCCCCTCTGTGCCCCAGTGGGATACCCGAGCCTTGGGCTCTCCGAGTTACCACACCCCAACCTCTGTGGGCCGGGCGCTGGGAGCTTTCAGACCGGAGACAATCACTCGCCGAGCAGTTTGCTCTCCGCGAAAGCGTCCCTTCTGTTCCCGGCGGAAGAACTAACTGAGGTTTCCCTCCCCACGCGCCCTGATAATAGAGGGCAAAGAGGAAGGAAGAGAGAAAAAATAATATTTTTTTTCAAAGAAGGAGGAAAACTCTCGTCCTCAGACTCTAGAAGTTTTAGAAAACTGACTGGGCCAAGCAGGAGAGAGAGATGCAGAGTGTCATTTTGTTCTTCTGCAAAGAAAAATATGTTTTCCTTTTATGGATTTTGTAAAAGCATTCGTTTCTGACAAGTGCAAGGTACAAAAGGTTGTGGAATTTATTAATACATATTAAGAAGAATCAGGGCGATCAATAAAATTCTCATCTACATTCTTGGGCTACTTGGTAATTTTCTTGCTTCTGAGGGTTTTTAAAGAGTTATACCCGCTGTTGCCACACACGGGAAGATATTTTATTAACAAATCAATCGAGACTTTGTAAAGGATAAGATTAATAGTTAAGATTTAGCATAATGGCGTTTGCTTTATGAATTATTGAAAATTATACTATTGATTTTTCCCCTTCGCTACTAACCAAGAAGGTCAATTTTTGTTTTAACACAAATCGTCAAATATTAAAAGCTATACTTTGTCAGAAGTTGAGTTTTATAGTTTTGGACATTTCCTAAAATTATTTGACATGGATTTGCTTGGGTAAGGGGAGAGAGAAAATAAGGAGGTGAGGAAAGAACCTTAGTCCTCTATTTCCTTTGGTGAGGGAAAGTTCTATAAAGAGGATTTGCTTTGGGATTGTGGTGGAGCTCATTAAAGAACCACCACCATCACCACCATGGAAACTCGGAGTTTTACGAGAAACTTCTCCAACAACTTCCTCCCTCATTCTCCAGTTGCAGGAGGGCAACCAGCCCTTTGGAAGCTCCGGCCTCGGGGCAGCAGCGGGGAGCTTTAACCTTGATTTCCAAAGGCTTGCCCTCGTTGAGGGGCCAGGCCAGGGCGCTGGAGCCTTCCTCCAACTTCCGGATCCCCTTCCCTGCATCTGAGAGAGGAAAAGGGCCCTGCAAACTCTGATGATGAACCAGTTCTCTGTCCAGGAAGGAATCCGTGCTTTCTTCTCCCCACATTGCCCTGCCATGGGCTGGCCTTGGGTTCAGGCCCAGAGACTGAACTTGTGGGCAAATTGGGTTTCCACCTCAGCAGAACATTTCTCTGGAGCCTGATGCTTATTAAAGCATCTCAGCATTCCGTAGGACTTATTCCTTCACAAAAATCTTTTCCAACAAACCCTTTGTCTCCCATTCCCAAAAGGAATCTCCCCTGGCCCAGTGGAAACAGGGGGTGGACATTATTTTCGGCCTTGGGACGACTTCGCCTGTCGCCTCAAAGTGCCCTCGCCCAAACAATAACCCCTTTTAAAAAACTCCGCGGTGGCAATGAGACAGACCTTTTAAACCTTTACGCAGCTGTTCAAATACAACATCATTGTCAGGTTAAAAGCCGGGTGCCTCTAACTGCTCCGGCTATGGGATGCCGGCCGGCGAAGCCAGAGGTTTAAACATTATATTACCTCTCAAAAGGAGTGTCTGTTTTTAAGCTTGGGGGTGGTGGTGGTGCTGGTGAGGAAGGCAGAGGGAAAAAACCCCCCAACTTTTGACTCTAGTCTGCTAAGGTCCTGTTTAAAGCCAACAGCCACTGACCAGCATCCCCGAAAATTGCTTTCTCACAAGGCGGAGATCATTATCCCAGCCACAGATTAGCGTGCCCAGTGCTGGACAAAGTGCCCGCTACACGCGCTCTCGGCAGACGCCCTGACGCCAGCCTGGCGCTCCAGCACTGTCCCTTTGCATCTCGGCCGGGGAGCTACAAGGAACTCCGTATTCCAATTCTCCCTATCCTTTGTGAAAGGAAAGACTGTTCAATCTAATCAGGAATTTTATGCCCATCAAATGCCCTTTCATAATCTTTATTTATACATGAAAAAAACATCCAGGCTAAAAAACAGCAATTCCTCGCAAAGCGGGTAGGTCTGCGGTGAGCCAGGACAGGCAGGATCTGCCTTCTGAACTGTGGGCTTTTCTGTTTCAACTCCTGATGGCTTCGAGCTCAAAGTCACTCCCACATTGGATTTGGTTTTAAATAGATCTTCACTCAGAAAAATAAAAATGTGTTCCAGATATAATTTTGAATCTATTATCACAAAGTTATATTTTATTCTTTTTCAAATTTCTGCCTTCAGATCAGCTCCTTGAGGCCAGAGACTGCCAATATTTCGGAAAGATTTTATCATAGAAATCAAACAAAATAATTTTAATACAAGAGAACAATCATGGCAGGGGAGGATGGAAAGTTTGCCTAAGACCCTAAGGCTAAGATGAAGCAAATGGAATGAAAAGGCAGTGGCTTTCAAGGACAGCCTTTATTTTGCTTATGAGTATTAACTGTAGCTGCATAGCCACTGTTCTCGATCATCTTTAGATCAGTGGGAACAGTTATCATTAATAATAAATCAATATTGCACCATAAAGGAGATGAATATCCCTGTTTGTACCAAGACATACTTCTCCCTGGCACAGCTCTTTCCAGAGAAAAATTAAAGGGTTGCTTTAGCAAGAAATTAACATTTGTAATCAAGAAATGGCTTGCATCTGCGCTCTCCTGTCACCAAGAAGAGCAGCAGCCGGGCCTGAGTGAACTTGGGGGCTCCTAGGTTCACCCTGAATTTGTCCCTGAGTGGCCTCAGAGCTATGGCACTCTTTGGGGCCAGAGTGGATGAAGACAAATTTTTAAAGCTGCTTCCCCAAGGCGCCCCTCTGGGTTACCCTCTGCATCTCTCAGCCAATGTGAAAAGAAATCAAGGGAGCAAATAAGGAGGCTAGGGAAGCCACCACCAACGTGACGAGGGTGTCTATGAAGATGTGCAAAAGAGCCAGCGGCCAGGGAACCTCTTTCCGTTGCAGACACAAAAGACTCCTACTTCGAGTATTTTCCCTCCACTTCAAGATCTGAAACCTTGGAAACTCAAGATATGTGTCCACCCTCTAAGAGTCCTATAGCCCTGAATGATCCTCCCAGAAGTCCTGGTCCAATCCCCTGGTCTTTTTTAGGCCCATCTTGGGTGCTGCCAGGAGGAAAGAAACTGCAGACCACTGAGCACTCATAGTCTGCAGAAGGCTGCCAGCCAAGGCCAAGAGCCCCGCACTCCATACCCCGCCTCCCCAAGACCACATGTGCCTCCGCTCGAGCCACCTAAGAAGGGATGCAACGACATTTGGAGAAAGGGGTTCTCACCCCAGGTGGACTGAGGTCCGGGTTAGGTCCCAGGAAATGTCGCTTCACAATAGCTAGGCTGGACCCATAGTCTAACAGGCTGGAGCCGGGGTTGCCCACAAGGAACACCCACGCCTCTGGGTGGCACCTCGCAGGGGTGCTCATGGCGCCTGAGCCACCCCTGCAGCTGATGCCAGCTCCCAGGGGTGGACTCGGGCGGGGCCTTTTGGTCCAAGGCCGGGAAGGAGTCAGAGATAGTGGAATCGACCAGGCCGGCACTAATTCCGGGGGTTGTGTGAGCTTCACAATGAACTTCGGACAAGAAGGGACAGCCACCCATCCTTAGAAGCCCACTTCCCCGGAGCCCTCCCTTTTGGAACCTCCTTTTTGGACAGCGGATGGTGACACAGGCCCTCTTCAATGTCAGGGACTTTGCAAAAGGGTCAGGGAGGGGAGCTAGAACTGCACACGGCAAGAAAACTGCATCCAAGAGCTGGTCCCAAAATCAAACTCCTTGCTCAATGCCAGCAGGCGGCTTGGAAGGGTGGCCAGGAGTCTGTCAAATGCAAAGCCCATTTGCTTCAAATGTATTCCCCATTCCACGACGCTTTAGAGTATAAATGTTTCCTGGGACAGTTTGCCTCTGCCCGCGGCCGCATCGGCTCAGCCTGGCCTGGGCGCCCCAACTCATAGTCTTGCCTGCTCCTCCCGGTTGCTACCGGTAGCCCCTGGCGCCAGGCACGACCTGGGGGGAGGGGAGAC